GTCATATGGTCTCTTATTCTTGAGTTTGTGCTTTTAAAATGTATTCAGTCCAACCAGAAAAAGGTCTAAAATATCATATTTTCAGCAAACTAATGTTCGTTTTGTTAAATGGCACCTACAACATCATCAGGGACGGTTGTCTTCTAGCAGATGCAGACACACATTTCAGATTAACTCGACCCATACAGATTAATTCATTCAACACATTTGCACTCAATTGGACAGCAGCAACACACCCATCAATGACTGTGAAGTCTTAAAAGCTTCAAACAAAACATGTTTTTTTTTTTTTTCATACTAATGATACCTTAGGAAATCTCAAGTCCCTCTCAAGGTGTATTTTGACATGTAACGACAAGAAACCAGCCAGACACCAAACATATGGCAGCAGGAAAAAACGAGAGCAATCGAGCGTGGCTTTCCCGACATGATTTTTGTTGATGTCATGAATAATTAAATAACTGGGCATCTAAACAGATGGCACAGAGCGGCTTGTAAGGGCACAAAAAAAAACAAGCCATTAAATATTTAGAGTCTGACTCTTCCTGAGGAACAGAGGTAGAGTCAGAACAGGTTAGGTGAGGAGGAGGAGGAGGAGGAGGTGGTCGATATCTGTTTCAAAAACTAAAAAGAACATAAATATTTCACTGAGTTTTTAAGTTTGACCACTCTGAAGTAACAAGATGTTCCTGAAATGTGTGCTCTAAGAAAAACACATATTGGCAGTAACCTAAACTTGCCCTGAGCCTCTCATCCCTCTTCCCCACCCTGATGAAACCACAGACCATCATACACTCACATTCCACAACATTAACAGAATAATTGAACTAAAATGTTTCAGCTTCTGTCATTTCCATGTGAAAGATTATGTTTTTTCTTGACGTGACCCTTCAAACACCACCACCCACCCTACTTTAACTCCCTGCCCTGGTAATTAGAAACCTTGTATGTCAGAGTGTCCGCACCAGCAATAAAGCGCATGAGTCTGAGTCCTGCATCTTTTCTGTCACGGTTATTTTTGGGGCTTTTTATTGCCTTTATTAGATAGGAATACCTAAAGAGAGACGGGAAAGTAGGTAGAGAAAGGGGACGACACACAGAACAGGGCTGCAGGTGGGAACCGAACCCGGATCGATGCAGTACGAACTCAGCCTTCATTCACTCTACCAGGTGATCCCCATCTGAAAGTATGATCTCATACACTGCTTCTTTATTCTGTCTTTCTCAAAAGCTGAAACAATACTGGGAGCTCCTGTCCACAGAATCAAAAATCCTATATTAACTATGGCTATATTAACAAAGACAAAAGAACTATTATGTTGTTTGATTGATAAATCTCCCATGGGGCTTTAGCAGCTCTACTTTTTGACTCAGGGGAATCGTGTTATTAAAGTTGCTACAGATTTAAGTCGTAGCGCAGAAGTTAACACCAGGGAAATCTGACTTACATGTTCTTACACAGGTAGTAGTATTTTATTACAACACCTGTTTGTCTGAAGCCCTGTGCATCAGAGGGGATTCATTCAACTCACTCATGAAGGAAGTCATTTGCTTCAACCGTTTGATTTTTACTGTTAACCTTCGTGATGTAATTCTATTTAGCAATTAATAGTTGTACTGCAAACCTGTTTTTTTTTTTTTTCATAATTAACTGTTTAAACTAATCATGTTTACAGTCAGGTGTGGAAAAAGTGAGAAGATGTGAGACTTACGATCCTCTGTGGGCAGAACCTGTAATGAGTAGATCCACTCAATCATTACATTTCTATCAATCACATCCAGAGCATCCAGCACATCGAGACCAGACAGGGCGAAAAAGATGATAGTTAACCTGGAAAGAAGGCAGATAGACACATTATTCATTTGTAACCAATTTAATATTAACAGACTGAAAGACACACAAGGCAATCTGTGGCAGTGAGGTCACAATAGATGATAAAACCCAACTCAAAACCACAAATTTAAAAACTCCTGACCAGTCTAACTCTTGTACAGTGTTTATATTATATTATATTTTCACTCTTACTGTTTTTATACTGTTTTTTTTCCTCTATCCACTTTGCTGCTGTAAAATTCCCCTTTGTGGGACTATTAAAAGGAATATTTTATCTTAACTTAGTTAGAGCTAGCTGCTGGTTCTCCATCCAGCTGGAGAGATACACTAGTTGTTGACAAATGAACAACCAGACCAACTTTAAAGTCCATTTTACACGAAGTTCACTTCGCTTATCCCTACAATGTCACCTACTAACGTTGACTAGTAACTTCCACACGGCGTCGTGCCTCGTTGTGCCGCCAGCATCCCGTTTTACCACAACCAATCTGTCACAACTTCACTCCCCTTCACTGCTGAGCCTAACAAGCACGCTAAGCTAAGTAGCACCAGCTTCCATTCAAAACGACTGAGCCCCAGCTAGCGTGGATGCTAACCGAGCTGCTCAGACAAAAACATGAATCAGAGAAACACCCTTCAGTCCAGTTAACGTACCTGGTCGTCTCCAGCGAGGCGTACCTCTCAGGTAGCACCTGCAGTGTCCTCTGGAAGAATCGTACATGCCGATCCCTTAAAAAGTCTATTTGCTCAAATTCTTCAAACTGGCTCTCTTCTTCCGCCATCTTTGCATCCGCACCTATGAGGAATCTTTTCCGGTACTATTGTTTTTCAAAATAAAAGCTCACACTGCGTCGCAACGTATAGGCACCATTGATAGTTTATATATATATATGCACAGGGAAGCTGTATTGAAAACACAACCTGTACATATTATACAGATTGTCTCTTTGGTTGTGACTTTTGGTAAATTTATTGATGTTCCTCAATAAATATTGTTAGAAAGCTGTGAATATAATTTTTACTCTGTCAATGTGCAATACTTATTCCGTCATACGTCTGTAATACTGCAATCTTTAAACATCACTGCTATTACTCATTTCATTGCTGCCGGTCACATACTGTGGCCTACATTTCCTTCTGTCTATATATTGTCATATATTGTATTATTATATAAGGTACATACTCTTGTTATATTTCTATTTCCATTTTTATTTCCCACTCATATGTACATACCTATAATACATTTCTAATCTGCTATATGTAAAATTCTTACACCAACCAGAGACAAGAAGTTTGAAATTACACAACTGTAATGTAATGATACAGTTTTTTTTTCATTTAAAATAACGATTTTATAAAAATTTAATTTAATCCATAGATTGTACAAAACCTCACAACAACAGCACACAGTAGTCAAATAAAATCTGGTTGAGGTCCCATTGTGTACATTTTAATTTTAATCATGTCAGGACTGTTCAGTTGGCTTCCATTGTTGCTCATCACAGGCCTTGTCTCCAAGTGGGAACAGCTCTGCAGCAAAGCAACAGAAGAGTTCAGATATTCAGCAAGCAATCACCTATTATTACCCAAAAACATTCCTTAAAGGAAACCTAAGTAGGGACAATCAGACCTGTGAAACATCTGTAGCAGTGGCCCTCCTCCTGAAGGTCCAATGTGTTTCATTCGCTCCTCCCATCCCTTAGTGGGCCGTGTAAGCCTGGAGGGGTCTCTACTGATGTGACCATCCCCCTGAATTAACAACAAATAAACATTAACCTTTTCCTAAACCCACAACCTCATTTACTTAAGATTCAGATTCAGATCTTTGTTAATGATTTTGAGAGATCTTGTGATACGTGACTGAATTGTTGACAGTTCAACCCCTCACCTTCTCCTTTAACTTTGCAGCAATTCTCCTCTGTTTTTCATCTTCCTCTTTTTCCCTCAGCTGTTTCTCCTGAAGCTTTGCCTCCACCTTGTGAAGATCCTGCAACGAGAAAGACAGAATCAAGCTTTGTATTCTACACAGTATGGTGACCTTTCCATTTTTTGACTTTATTAGATAAGACAGGAAAGGAGGAGAAAGAGAGAGGGGGGGGGATGACACGAAGCGAGTTGAACCCATGGCCACTGCAGGACATGGGGCACCAGTTCTACCAGGGTGAGCTACCAAGGCTCCCTTTATCTACTAACATCAGCCTTTGTTATTATTTGAAAAACTTGCAAAACCTTACATTTCTCAAACACATGAAGTCTGGTGTTTGTGTGTCTCTGAGAGTCGTACCCTTTCATTAAAGCGTTTGATGCCCTTTGCTGCCTCCTTTCTCCTTTCCTCCATCTCCCTCTCTTCGTCCTCTATGCTTCTCCTCCTTTCCTGCTCCTCCTGCTCTCTCCGCAGCCGTAGCTGCTCCTCAATGGTCAGCTTCACTTCCAGCTGGCGGCGACGCTCTTCCTGATGAATAGAAATCATTTTGATTGGTAAATATTTGTTGCACCAACCATAACACCTGTTTAAACCAACCGTTGCTCTGTACGTGTGTTATTGTACATAACCACAACTACAGTAAAATTACTTTACACACAAACACAAATGTGCAACAGCACCTTTTCCCGTCTCCTCTTTTGTATCTCCTCAGCCAGTCTCTGCTTCTTTTCCTGTTCCTCAAGCCTTCTCTTCTCCTCCCTCCACTCCTCTAGTCGGCGGGCCGCCTCCCTCTTCTCCTCTTCAGTCCTAAAACAGAAGAGGATAGAACACACTAAATCAAACATGACACCAAAGTGACAATAACGAAGACTATAAGAAAACAAATCCTCCAAATTCACCTTTATTTAACGTGACCAATCAAACACTCATCAGATCTGGTAGTCATAGAATCAATGTCTGCTCCACCTCGTCTTTCTGTTTTCCATTCAACTCTATTTCTGACTCACCTGTGTTGGCGGGCCTGGCTCTTGGCCTCCTTCTCTCTCTTTCCCACCTCCTCCGCATCCTCCTGACTCTGTATCCTGATCTGGCGTTCCTGGTGCCTGCTGGCTTTCCATCGCTGAATAGCCTGCGTGTGGTATGAAGACAGGTGGTAAAAATTGAAACCACAAAACATTTAGACAGCACCACAGCTTCCAAAAAAGCTCTTTCTGAGCTCTTGGCTATATCATGTTAATACAGAATAAAGACAGTTCTAATTGAGGTTAATTAAATGAAAGTGTACAAGCACTGTAGGTATACTATTAGAAACCAATCAATTTATAGTAGAGGCTGATCTACTGTACATTTTACATACAACATGGTGGAATAAAGATGACTCTGCCCCTGTGTTTCTGATGTAGTGTGTTCTCTGAGCCATAATTTAGGTACACATTTAATTAGAACAAAATAGTTCTGACAACTAAATATCTGGATTCACAATCTGCATTCAAATCAATTTAAAAATACACAGTCAGGTGACCTTTGCGATGTCAAAAAGACTTCTCGTGACGAGCTTGGTGAGGACTGTGTACTATGTACCGATCCAAATGAGGTTTCCTATTGAGCGTACATGTTTTGTTGCAGTTCTCTACCTCTCTCTTTCTATCTTGTAGGTAAATCAGCTCCTGATGCCAGTCCTCATGTTGCTCTACATCCTCCAGTGTTTTACCAGGCAGATACAGTTTGGCTTCCTTCCTGTAAGATGATTGCCCACGGTGCTTTGTCCAGACCTGTAAATCAAACGGATTACAGAAAGTTAGACAGGAATCTAGCAGGCAATCAATCTTTGGCTTGACATTTGCCTGAAAAAACATTAAAGAGTGTTAGTTCAAGGAGTGGTGTTCAGTGGCTGTGTGCAGTGATCTGCAAGTGTAAGTTGGCAAAAGAAACGTGACTTTCCATTACAACACAAGTTATTACAAGAGAGAGAAAGACAATGTCTTACTTTAAGGAAGGTTTGGTGGTCATATTGGTCCCAGCCACCATAAAGGCCTCCCGTCTTCTGCAGGAAAGCCTCCAGTGCTCTGACCTCTGCAGGGAGGTCTCTGTCTGGAGGTTTGGTCTTGTGGGAAAGATATGAATAAAGTACTTCATGGGTCAGAATTCTAGTACTCACACAAACAAAAAAGACTCTCTTTTCATTGCATGAACGATGAACTAAATAGAAAAAACAAATAAAGGAAGTTGAGGAGAGACAGACCTTGACAGTGGGAGCTGTGGGTAGTTTGGGGTCTGATTTGACAACGAGGTTCCAGTTTTCAATCTTCTTCTCATAAGCAGTGATCTCCTGTCTGCATGCCCTCTCCTCCTTCAGAAGTTCCTCAAAGCTGAGAGGAGCAAAGAAACACAAAGGTTGACTGTTGATAAAATTTTCCTTAGATGTATTAATTCCCAGTGTGGAGAAAACACTGATCAGTATTTGGCTGTACGTAACTTTGTACTTTTTTAATAGTTTTAACTTCTTGTTTGCTTTGTCTAAGAACATAATTTTAAAGGTGTATGTATGTAAAGTTTTCTAACATTTTAAGAAGAACATACTAAGTCTAATAAAGTTGTTTAGTGTATTCTGTTACCATGACCGCTGTTCCTCCTTTAGGGTGTTAATTGAGATTTCCACCTCTGACATTATTTCTTTCAGTCTTTCAATCACTGAAAGTAGAAAGGCAGAAAAAGTATCAACAATCTGGCCTAAAACAACCTTTTTGCCATTGTTCATAGCTATGACACTACAATAACCATGCTTTTATTGAGCAGTGCACTACTTTACAATAGCATCTTTTATATTGATGTAGCAGAATGGCACAAACATTGATACAAATAAAAGGACTGAATGTCTCACAAGATGGCTGAATAAAAGATATTTTAAAGGTAGATACAAAACTTACACTCAGGAGTTGGCTTCACATCTATCAGCTGCCTCTGAAATTTCCGGACACCATTATGAATCTTCACAAGCTGCTTTTGAAGATTCATCTCTGAAAATAAATACAAAGAACGTTTTGAACAGCTGTTTTTATCAAAATGATCGAGTGTTGAGGGCGGATGTTTACCTTTAACACAGGTTTACTGTTTTGACTAGAGTATTTTCTACCCCATGGCACCCTGTCAAATTAAAATGCACAGGGGAAATGTTAAGATACTGTAGCTCAAAGAACAACCCACTTTCAGCATTTCTTTCTTCCTCCAGCCCTTTCTCATTCTCTTCCAGTTCTCCTGTCACATCTATCCAGCCATTCTTTCTGCAATGAACACTCAGCGTCCTCTCTTTCTCCAACTTTTCAATCCTGTGAAGAATGAGGAGGAAAGTTATATGGGCAGATCACAACATGGACTGGTTTGACGTGTTACAGTGGTTTTGTGATTGCTAACATTAATACAGCACGAATGAGAAATTTGCCTTACTTGTCTGTTTTCAACTTATTATTAAGTTAAATCTGAACGTGAAAGTATAACATGGGTTTTGATTGTCTCATTTACGATGCATTCTTGCTATTGCTGATCCTGTAAGAGAGAATGAACTTACTCCTCATACAAAGAAGTGTGTGAAATAACTGACCTTACAATATTATGCAATCCAATACATTAGTTCTGCTGTAAACACTGGGCTTTTAAAGCTTATAAATAATGTACATTGTGTTTGTTGAGAAGGTAATACATATGGGACAGATTTCATTGATTGTATGGCGTTCCTGACACCCACTGTCTCGCTACAGTGAAAGTTAAGCGTCTGAAGCTTTTGAATTAAATATGAAATAACCCTGAGTAGTTTCACTTACTGCCTCCTGTTCTTCTCAGCCTCCCTGACAAACTGTGCAGCTTTCTGTCTGGCCAGTCTGTCATCCACATGATCACTGCTGCCCGGGGATGATGTGCAGGGATGCTGGACGAGAGAGTCTCCCTCTTCCTGATCAAATGAATTGAATGAATGCACCAACACAAAAGCTGATCATAGTGCAATATATAATAACAGTTACAGCAGGTATGCATATATTTAATGGTATTCCTTAAACGCGTCCGATAATGGAACACTGGGTCCTTCATCAATCTGGAAACACAGCACCATGGGTAACCAGGTACCACATGAAGCATCCATTTTCGGACATGTTGTAGCTTTTACTGCAGTTATAAATTCACAGGCTAACAGCGCTAAATAATGACACAAATTAATGACGGATGTACAGATTAACTACAGTACAGTCTTTTGGCTCGCATATGTGAAACAACGCCATAACATGAGAGAACGGTTTCTTTCTCCCAAACTTAACTTGAGCTAACGTTAGCTCGCATTGATTAGATAATCCGCTTCCCATGAACATTTAAACATTTCACAGAATTCAAATGTTATCCACTGACAAATAATACATGTCGACGTTAGAACAAATACAGTAAACAGCTCTGTCACACCTACCGAGCACTGAGTGGTTGCTAGGGTGGCCATGTTTGAGTGAATCTGTAAACAAAACTTTTTCTTCTTCCTCTTCCTCCGTTTTGCTGTCTGCAAAGCAACGATGAAGGTGAATACCGCCACCTACTGTACCAGAGTGTGTAACATCATGACTTTACACTCTGAAACCATTAACAGTGTGCATAAAATATTGTTTTGGCTCAACAACAAATAACAAATGTACTGCATTGAGTTATAGTCTACAAAGGTATTTTTAATAACCATTTACTTAAATTAAATTAAGTTTTTAAGTTCATTAGGCTTCTCATAAAAATTAACTTGTTCCAACTAGTGTTTCCACATTGTTTATGTCAACACAACTCATCAACATAATGTTTGAAAGTAAGGTTTATCTGAATCAATAAATTTGAAGTTTTATTTTGCAACCACGCATTTATTTAAGTGGTGACACTGAATTACTTTTTAGTGTGTATAAAGAAGTTATATTCTGGATATTAAACCTGTTTTGTTTAAATATTTGAATAAAGCCCTTTGAACCACTGTAGTTGTTTGTCTGCCACCTCTTCCTTTGACTGTTTTCTTTCTACCCCCATCATCACACATTCAACAGATCCCTTAAAGGTTAGTCTCACATTTATCTGACACTTTTTCACAATGAATGTAAAGTAACACTGACTTCTGAATGTTAAAATCTTAACATAGAGAAAAATGACCAAACTTCAAAGTCAAGTCCTCCTGTAGTTGGTGATTCACACCAGCAGAGGACGCTGCTTATCATTCCTAGATTATATTAGCCTGAAAGACTGGACCAGACTGGAACATATTAGCTCCCATTAGGGCCTGATCATCAGGCACGATGATGGGAGACAAACCTAATGTAACCAGGAGACTGTAACCATGACGACAGACTTACATTAACCAGAGTGCTTAACCGTAACCAAAATGTTTGTGTGCACAATCTTTCCCTACCAAATAAACAGGCGGTTTAATGGCTCAGGCTTTCAGTAATACTTAAAATATCGGACTGAATGGGTCTAAAAATACTGGAATCAGCCTATAAATGACCCACTATCTGTACGTTTTCAATGACTCAATGTAACCTCCCGACTGCAAAACTTTTCAACTTGAAGGCAACATTTGATATACTTTCTGTAGCCCAGTTCCTGAGGTACAGAAACATCTGAGTCTACCCTGCTACAACTGGATGGTTAGAGTTACCCACGCATCTCACTCCCTCAAATAACTGCCTATCTGCAGAGGCCTTGGTTATTTCTGTAACAGTCTTTTTTTTTTTTATGATGGCCAACAGCTATAATTATTATGAGAGCTGGCCAAGTGACAGTCAGAGAGAAAAGAGGAGAGCAAAAGAGAGAGTGAGAGGGAGTATAAATAGAAACCTGAATCCATTATTAAGTGCAGATATTGGGGATGGTCTCTCCCTTGGGTGCAGAGGCAGAGTTGTCATCGAAACATAAATAGCAACCACTCTCCTTAAGAGAGTTACAATTTCCTGTCTTCATCGTCGGCCGAGGGGACACACTTAATTTGATAAATGAGACAATCAGATGAACCTTCAACTGGTTGGCATAACAAATCAGACCAAAACATAGCTGGTATAAAGTAGGGGATTTCCAGACAGGGTATATTTGGGTAAAAAAATGTGGATGCCAGAGAGACATAATATTTAGGTCAGCTCTAAAATAGACTACTTCTTTTTAAAGGAAGATCTCGCAGATTTTTTCTCCCTGATAACTAAAGAAACAAAAGACTCTTATAACTCAAGGTCCACCTAGTACGACCTTTCAACTGCATCTCTCGCAGTCCTCCTTTGCAGGATAGAGTATTCTCAGTTGCCATGGCGACGGCTCGATTGTCATCACATGATCTTAGTTAACAGGTGGTCCTATGACTTATGTCTCACAACCACTCAGCTCTTTTACTCAACTTTTACTTAAAAATAGAAATATTTTAATTATCAACATAAGTAACAAATACTTAGCCTACAGAACATTTCAGAATATATATTACATTATATTATTGCATAATTTAAACTACTTTGTATACTCCTGGGTAGCTTCTATAACATATAATAATTACATATAATAATCTATAATGATAGTTCTTGATAATATTTTGTATTAATAATCAGGATCTGCAAAGTAGCTAAAGCTGTTAAATAGATGTAGTGGAGTATAAGTATAAACCAGAAGAAAGTAATAAATGCTCAAGTAAAATACAATACTTGTGTGACTGAATATAATACTTACTTTCCAACCGCTGCACGTGAGAAAATTCCGATCATGTGATGACAGCTGAGTAAACTCTATCCCTGGAGGAGGAAGATCTTAAGATACAGAATAAAGCTCTGGGAAAAGCTAGTAGCCAAGCGGACCTTGAGTTTTTTGCTTTAAACAAACAATTAATTTGGTTCTTTTTGACACTTTCTCTCGGTCAGAGTGTTTCCCTCAAATCTTCTCTTGCAATAAAAAGACTAAAACTTGACATTTAGCATTCCTGAGCTTTCACATTCGTATTAAAACTTGAGCTGAAGCCATGAATCCTTGACCGGAGGAGTCTGACGTAGAATAGCCGGTACAGGCAAGAACCAAAGTGAGAAGAAAAAGACAGACATGACCTTTGACCTCTTCTTCGGAGCTAACGGCCTATTTGGAAATGTTATGAGACATGATCCCTGTAAACGGAGAGGTCAGTTTTGCATTCATGGACGGAGGAACTCTGAGCTTACACTCATGCCAGTTCTTTGAATCAGATGTGCTTATTTACGACATCTGCCACTGTGTTTATTTGTGTGTGTTTCCAGCGAGTAGAGCCTGAGTCTCATCCGTAGTCTTACTCCACAGGTGAGCATCTTTACTTGCGCAAACCTTCTGTCCTGCTGGCTGTCAGACTGCTGCTAAACGGGGGTGTTTTAAGTCAACATGCCTGCTTTTATAAGGGTTAACTATGTGGACAAACACATAAACAACATGCACAAACAAAAATGTGTACCTACACGGCCACACACGCACACATGCACCTACACACACACGTGCGCGCACACACACACACACAATTTGTTCTGACACCTGACTAGTGCTGTAATTGTATATGGTGTTAAAACGCAACATGATCTGGCTACGTCCTGCACATGTTGGCCATGTAAGACTCAGACAGGCAACTGCACATGCATTCATGTGTCTGTGTGTATGTGTGTGTGTGTGTGTGTGTGTGTGTGTGTGTGTTCACATATCAGTAAATTAACTGAGCGGTGTGCAGTAGAGAGCTTACGAGGGCAGGGGGAAAGTGATCAGACTAATTGCTTTTCCTGCTGTGCTTCAGACTCGTATGCTCTCTCTGTGACGTCAACACATTAACATGTCTCTGAATGTACCTTTTGAGCTGAACTGTCTCCTGTAACTTTTATTTTAGTTATCCAATGCGTTTGCTCGTGTAAGTGCCTTAAATGCCACTTATGAATTTCCTGTAATTTCCTGACAGTTTTTACTTCTTCAGACCTCTAAAAATCCCTCTCACGACTCTGACGTGTGTGAAGAAGGGGTGTCAAGTTGACTCTTCTCCATTTTAAGGCTTCATTATAAACACTGCGAAGCTTGGACAGGTTGCCATGAATGTTTGGCATCGAGACCTTAACGGTCCCCCAGAGTCTGATTCCTGATTACCTCAATGATCGCTCTGACCTTTCATCTAACAACACCAGCAGGTCAAAGTTTCCACTTGTGCAGCACTCCAGCTCATACAGGATAGCTCGACATGGGTTGCAGTATTAATGCATATAGTATATTGCAACTATTTGAATGTTCTAGTCTTGAAATGTTGATTTTGTTGCATTTGCTTGTTGCATGTTGCAGCACTATCATCATCATTATATAAAACGCCAAGTAGCTTAAAAGTTTTTAGTCTGCCTGAAAACATGTTCACATTTGATAACAGCTGCAACAAATGCATGTATAGTTGGAATTGTTGGGTCACTGTAAATAATATTACAAGGAGTTCGGTCTAGACCTGCTCTATTTGAAAAGTGTCTTGAGATAACTTCTGTTATAAATTGGCGCTATACAAATAAAATTGAACTGAATTGAATTGAATAGTTATTTCTGTTCTGTTATTTATTCTAAAACGTATTATTGCTTCAAAACTTTATTTAAAAAAATACAGGTTATTGGATTATACACCTAAAGAGACGAGCTATATCAGTGCTTCCAGGAAGTTAAACCTGAATTAGTAGAAGCCTGAAAGGGGTTACAGCCGTGAATGTAACTCTTGAGCGAGAAAACTGAGAGCCTGTCACGCCTCCAGTCGTATGGCGTCTATTTGGATGATTTGTTCAGAGAGGCTATACATTCTGCTCTCTTTGAAACACCTTATAAAATGCCCCCACTTTGTAACTCCGCAGCTCCCTTTTGACTGTCGTTTCACTTATATTGTCAGACATTAAAGTGATGCTCTTATCCAGAGTGCCTCTCACATACCCACCGTGACATAAGTCCTTACCTCACCGAAACACTCCACATGTTGATGTACAGTGGAGGCCTTTCACTGCCTCATATGACCTGTTGAAAGAGAGTTATGTGTTGTTATGCTAGAAAATACATACTTAACTGGAACATTTTGAGGTTCAAAGTTAATATCTTTCCATCGTAAAACAAGGTTAGTCTTCATCAACCTTTGCCCACTTTTGAAATCAAATCTTTATTTTTTCTGAGCACTTTAAATACTTTTTTGAAAAGCCAATATGAACAAGCACTCATAAAAAAATGAGTTTGACAACTTGTCTATCTCCATTTGCAGATAAGGATCATGTGGTATGACCAAACCCTCCAGACCAGCTATCACATAGACCTTGTGATGAGTTTGTTTATGTAAAAGTGAAGGGCCTAGTTCTCTCTCCCTTAACGTATAATACCATTTAAATATAAGTCTATATTCTACTTTCTGACAGTATATAAGTGTATCTATGAAAAGAGGATGTGAAGGGAGCCAGTCCCATTTTCATGTACAACTTATCTTTAAAATCAATATTGACTTTACACATTACATTGAAAGTCCCATGATTTTAATTTGCTCTTAACTAATACTGTAATGTTACTCCTTATGAAGCTTGTATCTAATTTGATAAGACAAAGATGAGAATAACGTTGTTGCAAGTGGGTCAACCTTCCTGTCAGAGATGTGTGTCTGCTCCTGCTCTGACTAGAGGGATACTCCCCTCAGAGAATCATCTACAGCCACACGGTATACGCACCGAGTTTAGATTTACAAATATACTTCAGATGGAGCGTTAAATAATTGCAAAAGAAGTTTGGTTTACTGAGCACCTGCCGAGGTTGAAACACCATAACAGAGAATGTTTTAAGACGAGAAACATTTTCTTTACCGCTTGCATGTCTGTACTGTAAATATAAGGCTACAGCCAGGAGACAGTTGGCTTAGCTTAGCTTAGCATAAAGACTGGGAGTTGGGGGAAACTAGCTGGCCTAGCTCTGTCTGAAGGTAACAAAATTCGCCCACCAGTACCTCTAAAGCTCACTAATTAACATGTTATATATATATATCTTATCTTATCTTTAATCTGTGTAGAAACTGAAGTGCAAAAATGACAACAAAATGTTGAACTTGTGTGAAGGATTTAGTAGAATCTAGCGGTGATGTTGCAGGTTGCAACTAACTGAACACAACCTCCACGTCTGTATTTGAGGACCTGAGAATGAGAATGGGCTGTCAAGTGTGCAGGAGAAACTACGGTGGCTGCGAAACTCGCAAAAAACTGCAAAGGCCCTATTTACAGCCAGTGTTTGATTTGTCCATTATGGGCTACTGTAGAAACATAGTGGACTCCTTGGAGCTGCAGATCCTCCTAAATGTTACACACTGGACCGTTAAAATGAATGCTGAAAACCTGAAACTACTTACAGTGTGCAGGAAAATTGCAAAATGTTGCAAGACTGTACAAGGTACTCCTTGTTACTAAATTACCTGAGTGTGTTGTGAGATTTTTCATAGATGACTAGCAGTGACTCATGTTTAATTTCTTTCAGTAAATTACCAACCGCAGGAGTTAAACTGTCCCCAAATCACCTGGACCAATTTCAAACAGTAAAGCAATGTCATGTGAAAGTGTTTATTATGTCAAAATATCCCCGCCGTAAGTACAGTACATCGTCTTCAATGACTTCTAGTTAACACAGTAAATCATATTACAGAAAACGTCATCTGTTAAATAATGAGCAGCAGTTGTGGCCTGGCCGCTGTCTGTACATGTAGGCTTTCTAAAAGTTGATTAAGTATTAACTAGAGGAAAGTGAATGAAAGCTCACGTGGAGGGTTGTTAGAAGGGGTTTTACCGTGCAGCTCTGTCACTGACCACAGCTAACTTTATGCCCCGCTTTGTGTTTCTGTGTGTGTGTGTGAGAGAGAGAGAGAGAGAGAGAAGTGCTAAAGTTACAGAGATGACCTGAGGGGGCTTAGAGAGGAGTTAATTGCAAGACGTGCCACTCAGGGTTCGCAGGGTATACATGCAAGTGTGTGTGTGTGTGTGTGTGGTTTAATGAGCAGACTGGCCACTCTAGTCCAAGGCTGCTGGAGTCACCCTACCCCCTGTGTTTTATGAGGAGGGATAACGCTGCAGAGCAAGTGCCTCTTTCATAGAGAGAGAGAGATCACCTCTTAAAGTTGATTCTACAGCAGGAAGGAAGGAGACTACTTTTCATATATTTTGAATTTAAAACCCCCGCCTAACTTTTATTTAGCCTTTGAACTGGCAAACATTTGATTCTGTCTCTTTGGAGGTTTGTGCCTTTTCATGCCTAGAGGATTTTCAAGGACTTCATCAGCCACAGCAAGAAAAGGTTCAACAGAAACATGTGAAGGATTGTGAAGCGCTCTGATTGACAGGAGCTTTGGTGCCACACTGGGATTTCTGCTTTCATTCTGGCACGAGGGCAGATCCGCTCTTGTTTATTGCCCTCCTTTTGCCACACCCATGACCTCTCTGTGCCCTGAGAGACAAACAGAACACAAACATATATACAAGACAATGCCCAGCAACACTGTAATTTAGTGCACCACCCTTGATTAAATGGTTGAAGAAAAACTCTGTTACGTCAAACACCAAAGTCTTGATGAGAAGCTCATGTGTTCTCACAGCAGCAGCCAGACATCCTAAGAAGATGGATGCAGTTTTTCCCCGTAGGTTTGACACTAACCTCTATCTGAAATAGAGCTTGAGACCAAGTCCTCATTAGATTAGTGACTGCACCTTTTCTTTGTAATATAACTAAATGAGTTCTTTTCTACCCAAAATAATCGCAGGATCTGATAATTAGGGACATTTTTGTGAACCTACACCAGATTAATTGAAATATCCATTCCTATTGTAAACCAAAAACACACTTATTGTTACATTTTATGTTTTCTACCTGTATATTGTATAAAAAGTACTCATTACCCATTTAGCGTTACATTCTTATAACATTGTTTGGCACATGAAAGACGGCCTAAAAAAGGCAAGAAATTGATGCAGCGGAATGAGAGATATCGTCTTTTTTATTCCACACATTTTTTTCCCTTCCCAAACCCATG